TTTTCTTTCTTTTTCTGGTTCATTTATTATTTTAGCCATTTTACATCTTTTTTGTAATTCTTTGATTGGATTTCTGCTTTTGATTTCTGTTTCGATTGCTTGGATGTCTTCTTCTTTCCATCCTTTTGGTCTTTCTTTAAATTCTTCTTGCATTTTTTTCAATTATCTTTTTCTTTCTAATTGAATATACTTCTTGGAGGATATCATACCATCTTTTCCTTTTACCTTCATACTTTTTGAGTATTTCTTCATATTCTCCTTTTTCCCACTTACTTGTTATTCCTTTTATTCTTTCATGTATCTCTTTTATTGTTATTCATTTATATTTGTTATGGGTGTAATCTTTATTATTATTGTATTTACCTTATTTCTTATTTATTTTTCTTTGTGTCTTTGTTGTTTTTAACCCTTTTTCCTTGGTATATTTTTTACCATCATTACCACAATTATTAAAAAAAAATTTGATTGTTAATGAAATTAAAAAAAAAGTAAAAAATGAAAAATACACCAAAGATTAAAAAAAAAAACAACGAAAAATGGAATAAACAAAAAAAAGGTCAATTATTAGATATATCCTCAATTGGATTTTCTTCATACTGAGAAGTGTTTATTTCAGTTTCTTCAATATGCTCTATTGGTGTAATAGAGTTCATTTCTAGCATGCTCGCATGAGATTGTTCTTCTTCTATTGTGCTGCCAGAATTTCCTGTATAAAACATTAAGTCTTTCATATTTTTTATAATTATTGTTCGTAGGATTTTGGAAAAGTCTAATTGTAATTTCAGTGTTTTTAATCTTCTTACTGATTCTTTATGTATTAATTAATTTATTGATAATATAATAGGTATTATTTCTACATATATTATTTCTCTATTGTTTCTTAATTTCTCTTGTAATTCTTTGTATTTATTTATTTTATGAATGTAATTTAATTCTAAATTATTATCTTGACATATAGCAACATCTATAATATATCCTTTCTTTTCTTTCATATTTTGATATTATATATCTTATCTTCTCACATTGAAAGAATGGTCACTAACCAATATATCTTTATTGTAAGTTATAATCATTTTATCATTATTAATACATTTTGGAGGATTATTAAAGTCAATTGCATCAAATTCATTAAAATGGGTAATTAATATATGTTTAAATATTTGTATACATAATCATGTTTTGATATTTGATTCTTCTTCATTACAGGACATCCTAACAATATATGACTAATAGATGCAATTGTGTTAGGGCAATGTTTACAATATTTTAAATCATCATTTTGGAGTATTTTTGATTTAATACTTCCTGTCATACTTACTCCTTCTTGCATCTTTACTACTTGGAGGAATGCATTTCTTTTTATATTCAATGACCTCCATGTGGCTACTGTTAATTTCTTATCATTGAAAGTACCATTTGCACATCTTATATATTCACAACATTTCTTTTCTTTCCATTTATTTAAATGTCTTTCATTTAATTCATTATTTACCCATTCAAATATTTCATTTACATTGTGCTTTCTTTCATTTATTTCTATTACGTTCATTAATTCATTAAAATTAATCTTCTTACCAAATGTTTTCTTCATTCTTTTAATTATTCAATTTGGATTTTCTTTTATTGCATCTATCATTTCTCCTATTCCTGTGTTTGATTTCCACTTATATTTTAAATATATTCTTAATAATTCTTTACCACATTCATCTCTTGCTGACATTAATCCAATTCCCAATTCATTTATTTTAACATATAATCTACTTTTTGGGAATATTTCTACTATATAATTGGAGTTGTATCAATGATTTTCTGATTTGTTTATCTATCTTCTCCAATTCTCCTAGTTTCCATGTGACAATACAAAACCCATATCTTAATTTGGAGATTATATCACTATTAATCTTTCTTATTGTATTGAGGCTGCTATATTTCATAATATTTAATGATGATAAAATAGAAGATACATCATTTAATATTCTTGTACAATATTTATTGATATTTACTTTATCTTATATTTCAATACCAAGATGTTTATAAGGATTATCATTAGTTACTCTTGGTAATTCAGCTAATTCACCATTTATTTGATTATTAATATTAGTCATTATCCTATTCTTTTCTACATTAATTTTAAATCCTAATGCATTAAATATTAGATTAGTTAATTTGGGTACTTTTCAATTTCAAAGAAGTAATAAAAGAAAAAAAAGAATAAAAAAAAAATAAAAAAAAAATAATAACAAAAATGGAAAAAAAAATAAATTTATACAACATTATAAAGTTATCGACATATATACTAATACACTTATACACTTATACACTTATACTCTTCCCCTTTTATACCTTTATACTATTCTATTCCTCTTATACTCTTATCCTATTCTAAAAATACGCCCCCCGTGGGGCTCGAACCCACGACCGCGCGGTTAAGAGCCGCGCGCTCTACCGACTGAGCTAGGAAGGCTTACAGATTATTCCTATTCTCGACTTGTAGACTATGACTATGACCTTTTTATTTCTCCTTATTCTCTTTCTATATTTATATCTATTTATACCTTTTTCTATCCTCTGTTCCTATCACTTCTTTTTATTCCTTTTATCTTACTTATTATATTCATCATCTATCCCCTTTTAGACTTTTATTCTATTTAGACTTTTTCTTTTAGGTATATATATAGGTAGGTAGGCACTTAGGTA